AATATATATATATCCATTCTGTATTTTACGTGAAGCAGAGTTATCTTCTGTAGGGTTTTTGTGTATTCACAAGGTGATATTTGTATTGTAAAACAACAATGGTGAAGGAAAATAAAAAGGCTTTTAAAAAATGTAGTTTCCTTTATCTTTTTAATATTAATTTTAAATTAAAAGCTAGGTTTATTCTTCCAAACCTTGTTTTTATGTGTTATTGCACTGTAGGCCATCAAAATTGGACTGTATGGAAACTGCATTGATTTTGAATTGCTGTTCACAATTTGGCAAATCAGTGCCTTATTTGAAATAAATGCTATGCAATAGATTCTGATCTTTAGAGATCTGAGAGCGGATCTGAGAAGCCTTCCTTGGAACCATCACCAGGGCTTGAAAAATCTACCCACAACCGCTGGGAAAGAGCGTATTGCAGGCTAAACCTCCATAACCCCCGTATCTATCAGTCTTGTGATATTAAACTACACAACCTGTCAAATTTCTGCGAGTACGTGGTGGTGAAAGTATCACTTATTTCTCTAATGAGCTAGGTTTATGTCTACTCTACCGTATTTCCCTAGGACCTTGGCCTAGGACCTCCTTGAAGAATTGATCCAGTGTTACTTCTGCTGCTTTGCCTTACTGATGCCTGGGATGCTAAATATTTATCTGTTTCTTGCTAGTTCTCTTTTCTCTTTGGGAAGGTTTGGGTTTTCTTTGCTTCCCATGTTTCTTGGCAAAACTCTTTGCAACAGCATTTGCAGAGCTGTCTGCAAATTTTGGGGATTAGCTCTGCACCCTTTACGTTAAGTTCATGTTGGCGATACTAACTTTGCAACTATAGGGTTGAAAGTTCATTTAAGACAAACAACCCCCAAAAACAAACACATCCCAGAATGATTGCTTGAGAGAATTCACACTCCCAGATGTAAATGAGTGAGTAGATTTTTCAAGACCTGGCATCACGCACATCAAAAACCATTGACATAAGTAAATGTATGAATATATGCACATGACATTAAATGGAATCTGCTGACTTCTGCATTGTAGTGTCTGACTTACTGCATGAATTTTGCTAAACATAGTTTCATTTCTCACAGTAGAGCCATGCTTTATTGAAATATGCTGCCTTGAGAAATACTCTCTGGGCAAGCAGGAACATGGAGCTCAGTAACGTGGCACCGGTCTGGTTGCGGCACAGTCTAAAGGAGGGGACCAAGGGAATACATAGGGGTCAAAATTGTTTTGCCTCAGTGTTAACTACAGACTGTGTTACTTCTGCTACCTTTTTCTTCTCGTTCCATGTATCTATCTCCTTAGCAGCACCAGTTTCTTAAGATGGGTGATAGTTTGTGAGGAAGCTAACGCTGCAGGGATTGGTAGGCAAAATGCAACTGCTCCTTTTGCAGCATTTCACTAATGAATTAGGGGATCCCAAATTTCCTGTCGTCAAACATGTCAGGTGTGTTTTCCAGAAATTATTCAGATACGGTGCGCCTGTTCTGATTAATCTGCCTTCGTTTTCTGAAGAAGTGTAGCAAAGAGGTAATGGTGTTCTCCCGGAGATTTTGAACAGCCACGCTCACCTTTTGGACTTCATATTTCTGGGGTGAGATCCCTGGCAACTTACTGGAGCAAGCTTGTTCCTGTCTGGAGGCTGCACCACCACATACGTCATCCCTTTGCTGTGGGGCGCTGGCACAAGGATGCTTTGCATGTGTCTGCTTTGGACAGTGAAACCTACTTGGGCTCACGTGGACCTTTACCACAGACTCCCGTCAGAGAGGAGAGCACAGCAAAATGGTGCCAGTGTGGAGTAAGGACCGAAGCACACGCATCTTTGTCCCCTCCATCTTAGGCATACTTCATGTAAGTCAGCAACAGAGTTAAACTTCTGTGTTGTGTTGGCTTGGTAGAAGCAGACGACATCCCCACTGAAAGGGCAGCTGGGTGCCTGCGTTTCATGAGAGACTAGAACCGTGGTCTTGTCATGATGCGTGCCCAAGGTCTGCCAGTTGTCTTTCCCTGTATCAGCTAGGAGAGCTTTTGTTTTCCTTTCCTTCCTCACCTGATCAGAAAAACTGAACCCCTGTAGTCTGAGACTGTGAGAAATCTCTTAACTAGTTCTGCTCTTGAAAGACCTGTGTCTAAACAAGGATGCCTCTCTAGAATATTGCTCTCTGAGGGTGGGGTTGTTCTTCCCTCGAGTTAGTGCAATGGGGTCCAACAAATCTGGGATTGGCTTACAACCGCTTTATCATGACGGGTTCAATTTGCTTCAAGAGCTTTCCTGCAAGATACCTTAGACTTCTGTAACGATCAAAGCAATTCACCCAAACCCTGCTTTTTTACCACTTAATGATTTATTGCCTCCTTTTATTTCCCTTTCCAGAGTTGGAAAAATAACGACAGAACCAGAGGATCTCCCCTCTGAGTTTAGGTGCATGTTTGATGCCCTGGGTTACTTTTGGCTGATGTACTCTTTAAACTTAACTAATGATCACTTCTCCTGAGGCTTTACTGCTGGTTGCCCATCATAACTGCAGACACTGGTCCTAACAACGTAACCTTGCAGTTCATCACAACACACTTGAAGCACTAAAATGTTGTTCTACAAGTCATTAAAATAGTGAGAAATAGATTTTGCTGCCTTTTCCTTGGAGCATGCAGTACAAGGTGCAGGTTACCTCTGCAAACCTGTCTGCCGGTATTTTGAGGCTTGAATTGTTGTAATTGCTAATTTTCTTTTTCCCTGGGGAGAAAGATATGCTACCAAAAGCATTGCTTGCACGACTGTTTGTTTGTAGCTAATTTTGGTTCATCTCACCTTCTTCCATGCAGAGCTGGTTGTGCATGAGCAGTATGAGCTTTGCAGTAGTGAGATGAGCTGGAGAAGCAGGACTGCTCATGCAGCCCTCTGCTGGGTGATTCGGTCTCTGCCGTCGCTCCAAGATGGTTTTTTTTCCATTGCTCTTCCGCTTCATAATTCATAGGCTTGTAGGAAAATCAAGTTGGAGAGGACATCGGGAGGCCATCTGTTGCTCTGCACTGATCTTTCTCTCTTTGCTGAGAACATGCAGCTCTGTAGCTTTGAGAAGTGACAGATACTGTGATTTCGTTTTATTTTTTTTATTTTTTAGCAAAGGTGCCTTGCAATGTATTTGCAAACACTGCATTTTGACAGACGGATGGAAATACACCTTGCAGTTGCACCCTGCAGCCAGATAACCTTTCCTGGGTTAAATCCAGGAAGCAATTTTTGACAGATTTTAACACTTGCTCCAATGCCTTCTTTGTGATCCCATTTGTGCTGCTGTTCGAACAACGAGGACGTGGGTGGTTTTCCATGTGTGCTCATTTTGGCCACCCGTTAGTGCTGTCTGTGTGTGGAAGGCGCTGACATGTCCGTGCCTAGTGATTTGATCCCTTTATAGCTGGGCTTCATTCTACCTTTTAGCTAACGCAAAATCTTAGCCAGGTGAGGGGGGAAATCAAGCGTGATGCTTGAGTGTTGAAAGTAATAAATGTTACGTATGCAACAGGGAACTGATGTGTGGCTTTTTGCTGCTTTTTCAAACGATATCTGGCAAAATGTTTTTCATTTGTGTTTGCGGTGACATCTGAGGCTTTAACCCCACTTGCATTTAGTCCACAGTTACATTTAAGACACAGGATCTTGAGACGGTTTCAGGGTTCCCCATGTCTGATAATTAACCAAGTATTAGACAGCAGCAAAAATTGCCAGGATGCGGTTGCCTGGAGGTGCAGGAGGGTTGTTACTTACTCTGCGTTCCAGAATAACTTTTGGATAGCGGTTGGTGGGTATCGCTTACTGCTTCATTTCAGCCATTTCTGGGGAATAATACAGTGATGGAGAATAAAAGCATGTTTTGGAGAACTGCCTGTACTACAGTGATTTAGGAGAAAGTGATTTAAAGGTGCTTATTAATTATTGGGACCAAAAATGTGGATTATTACTTGGTGATCTGTTGGGCATCTGTTGTGTTTAGAAATGAGAATTGTTCAAGTTTTGCGTGCCTTTTTAAAAGCCCTTCTCCCATTTCGAGCTGGAGGTTTCTAAACT